GTAAGTGATGCAAAGGTTGGAACCATGGTGAGAGGCGCGGTGGGCCCTGAACCACCACTCCCACCATGAGAACATCCTGCTGGAATTGTAGAGGTCTTGGCAGTGACTCTACAGTTCGACGGCTTAAGGAGATAAATAAGAAGTATCTCCCGGACATCATTTGCCTATCTGAGACAAAGAAACAAGATGATTCCATTAGGGATGTTGGTGCTCAATTGGGTTTTCTAAATTATGTAACGGTTCCCCCTTTAGGACTTAGTGGCGGTTTGGTTTTATTGTGGAAGCATGATGTAAAGCTCTTTGTTTTAAGCCTTTCAAGTCAGTTCATCGATTGTAAAGTTCTAAGTAATGAAGTTCCTTTCTACTTGTCTTTTGTCTATGGTAATCCCAATCCTAGTTTGAGAAGTTATACATGGGAATCAATTGAAAGACTGGGAATGACAAGGAGAAATCAACCGTGGATGCTACTAGGTGATTTTAATGAGATACTTGGGAATCACGAGAAAATAGGAGGGAGAATAAGACCTATTTCTACTTTCCAACCTTTCAGAGACTTTGTTCATAACAATGATCTGATAGATATAAAATCAATTGGTAATAGGTTCTCTTGGGTTGAACAGAGGGGGAATCACCACGTTCAGTGTTGCCTAGATAGAACTATGGCTAATAGTAGATGGCTAAATGAGTTCCCGACTTCAGAAACAGAATTTCTTGGTATTGGGGAGTCTGATCACAGACCTTTAGTCACATACATCTCCTACGATACAGAGATCCCTAAGAGAATGTTTCACTATGATGGAAGACTAAATGAGAAGGAGGGTTTTAAAGCAACAGTTACTCGTGGGTGGAAAGGCTCCGGTCAAACACACTTACTACACATTCCCTTGACGCAAAGACTCGCCCGATGCAGACAAAACATATCAGTATGGAAAAGACACAACAAAAACAATGCAGAGGAACGTATTGTTTCTTTGAGAAAACGTTTGGATGATGCAGTTTGTGCTTCCACTACAACTACACAAGAAAGAACAGTTATTCAAGAGGAACTGAATCAAGCTTATATGGAAGAGGAATTTTTTTGGCAACAAAAAATCCGAATTCGATGGCTCAGGTTAGGTGATCGAAACACAAGATACTTTCATGCTGTAACAAAGGTGAAATGGAACAGAAATAATATTACTTCTATGCAAGATGAACATGGAGTGGTTCAAAGAGGGCAAAAGAATATTGCTAAGGTTGCTGAAACATATTTTCAGGAGCTATTCATGACAAGAAATGAGGCTTCACAGTACTTTGATGAAGCTTTTAGAGGTTTCCAGAGTAGAATAACAGAGGAGATAAATGCAGACTTGATAAAACCAGTGACTTCAGAGGAAATTGAAGGTGCTATATTTGACATTGGACCTCAACGTGCCCCTGGACCAGATGGTTTCCCAGTCATCTTTTACCATCAACATTGGAATGATATCAAAGATGAGATTATTGCTGAAGTTACAAGATTTTTCGAAGAAGGGCTTCTAGATGATAGATTAAACCACACTAACATCTGTCTCATACCAAAGATTTACCCACCCTCTAGTATGGCTGAAATGAGACCTATAGCACTATGCAATGTAGTCTATAAAATCATTTCAAAAATTTTGGTTATGAAACTGAAGGAGCATCTACACCACATTATCTCTGAAAATCAGAATGCTTTCATACCAGGGCGACTCATATCTGATAATATCATTGTGGCTCATGATATTATGCATTGTATGAAGGCTCGAAAGAGACAAGCAAAATCTTATATGGTTGTGAAGACCGACATCACTAAAGCATATGATCGACTCAAATGGAGTTTTTTGGAGCGTACTATGCAAGCTATGGGCTTTCACCAGAAATGGATTCACTGGATTATGACTTGTGTAAGTACAGTCTCCTTTTCAGTACTTATTAATGGATCACCGGAAGGTTATATTATTCCTCAAAGAGAAATCAGACAGGGAGACCCGTTGTCCCCTTATTTTTTTATCCTCTGCGCCAAAGTTTTATCTCATCTGATGCACCAGACGATGATTGATAGATCTTTACTGGGAGTTAAAGTTGCACTCCAAGCTCCACCAGTAAACCATTTACTATTTGCGGATGACTCCCTGTTTTTCTCATTAGCAAACCCAAAAGCTGGCAGGAGACTAAAACATATTCTTGAGCTCTATGAGAAGGTGTCGGGTCAAGCCATAAATCTTACGAAGTCAGCCATCACATTTGGATCACAAGTTTCAGAACATGTTAAAACAAGAATGCGGAATCTACTGGGTATACACAATGATGGTGGCCTTGGAAAATATTTAGGATTACCGGAGCAGTTTGGAACTAAAAAATCTGAAATGTTTACATACATTGTGGATAACCTCTTGAAAGCTGTGGCACTGGCAATGCCTATTTTCTCTATGAATATATTTCGATTAACAAAAGAGATATGTGAGGAGATAAATGGAGTTCTAGCAAAGTTTTGGTGGGGATAAGGTGATAAAAAAAGATTACATTGATATTCATGGGATCGTCTATGTATACCAAAAAGAGAAAGTGGACTAGGCTTCAGAGATTTAGAGCACTTCAGCCAAACCTTGCTTGCAAGCTTGCAAGGCTTGCAAAGCAAGCATGGCGAATCCTGCAACATCCTGAATGTTTAATAGCAAGAGTACTCAAAGCGAGTTATTTTCCTCATGACAATATATTAACAGCATCTATCAAGAGAAAGTTGTCCTATGCATGGAAATCCATCATTCATGGAACAAATTTACTAAAACAAGGTATGCGATTCATTATTGGTAATGGGGAGCAAGTTGATCTTTGGCTAGACCCGTGGCTACCGGAGCATCCACCAAGAGCACCAAGACCTCGACGAATGGGAGCTAATACTCGATGGGTTTGTGAGTTATTCACTCCTGATCGTATGAATTGGGATGAAAACAAAGTCAGAGAGTTCATTCATGCTGATGATGTACCGAAGGTCCTCTCTAGCAAAATCTGCTCAACAGCACATTTGGATTTGTTGCGGTGGCACTATAATGAAGATGGTATTTACTCGGTCAAATCGGGATACTGGTTAAATACTCATATTCCCCAAAACCAGATGGTTTTACCAACTCATGGGGATCCTAATCTCAAGCGAAAAATCTGGAAAACAAAGACTGCACCAAAACTAAAACATTTTCTTTGGAGAACACTCTCCAAAAGTTTACCAACACGAGATAATCTTCAAAGGCAACATATAATTACTAATGCTCAATGTCCTCTCTGTTGTCAAGCTACTGAAACAGAACATCACATTCTATTTGAATGTAGTTATGCTCAGCGAGTATGGAGAGCTTCAGGATTCTCAAATCTGATCATTCATAACCCTACAACAACATTAGAAGAGAAAATTGAAGCATGTCTGCAATGTGGTACTTTCAATACTATGAGACATTTCAAAGATCTTCCTTTCTGGATCCTCTGGAGATTTTGGAAAAGTAGAAACGTGCTGTTGTTTTAGAAATCAGAAATTCCATGGGGACAACTTCTCTGACAAGCAAAGACAGATGCAAATGAATGGTCAGAGAATACAACAGGAATAAATGACAGGGATGGACGGAGCGATGGAAATGGGAGACCATTTGTACAACAGGGGTGGAAAAGACCACATGAAGGATGGCTCAAATGTAATGTTGATGGCTCTTTTCTCAATGGTGAATGTACCAAGTAAAGCTGGAAGGGTGTTTCGTGATGAACATGGTCACTATAGAGGTGCAGCACAAGCCAAAGGCAACAAGGTTAATAATCCATTGGAGAGTGAACTACAAGCTCTGGTAATGGCAATGCAACATAGCTGGAGTAAAGGTTACAAGAAAATTATATTTCAAAGTGATTGCAAAAAAGCGGTTGAAATTATCGACAAACAACTCCTGCATTTTAATGCCTACAATTGGCTTCGAGAAGTGACAAAATGGAGACATAAGTTTGAGGAGATTCGAGTAGAATGGATTCCAAGATTGGGGAACAAAGCAACAGATCGACTTGTAAGGACTGCTATACCATATGATACCAATTTTTATTATCACTTCTATGTTCCTTACTCTATATCTAAGGACCTCTATATGGATTTGTTAAACTGTCATCAAAGTTAATAAAATGTGATGTTATAAAAAAGAAAACTGTAAATATATTTTTTGTACTACAATTCACTTCTCAAGTTCTATTTGACACCCCAAAATAAATTTTTTGTTTCTATTTACGAATTTAAGATAAAAAATTAAACTTTTCACCTCTAATAAAACTGAAAATATATCTACTGATAAATATTGTAACTAAAAATATCAATGGTAGAGGTCAAAATTATTTTTTATCAACAATTTAACTCACTTATAAAATTAAATAATAAATCATGTAAACATAAATTTTGTAGGAGCACTAACATATTTATATATATACATAAAAGTACAATTTCCGTTTGATATTTTTTTCAAAGAAAATATTATCCACTGATTACAAAATCAAGTTATTTCATGTTTTGAGAGGACATTTGAGCATTTTTATGAGATAACGAAAATATTTGAGCATTTTTGAACAAGTAAAGTATTTCAGATTACTCCCCCCCCCCCATTTGGGCCTTTAGTCATTTGATGTTTTTTTTTCTGTCAACGCCCAGATTTAAGACTAAATACAAATGATTTGAGTTTATGAAAATATTTAAAACAGTAAAACAGAAAAAGAACATTTGGACTTTCCTGTTTAATTTTTTTTTTTGTTGTCAAAGAAAAAAACAGTAAAGTCCAAATGTTCTTCTTTTTTTTTTAGCACACCCAAATGTTCAATTAGTCGTTTGTTTCAGGTTTGCGAAAGTGATTCTAGATCATCGACTACCGAGGAAGTTGAATTCATCAGGTGAAAGGGGAGAGAATCGGTTAGCTAGTTTTGACTTTTGATACACCACAAAAAAAAAGATCTCACCCACCAAAAAAGTCGTCTACAGCAAAATGGGAGGTAGTAAGATGCCTGAAGTGTATGAAACTAAAGTCGAAGCTGGGATGTCTTCTCTTGCGATTACCAGCACAAGTCCCCACTACAATACTCCAGTTCAAGCGCCGATTATATCTTCCTACAATAACCACATCAGGCCGTTCCTTGACATTGTGGACAGGCTGAGGAACCTGAATGTCATGAAAGAAGGGATCCAGCTTCCCACCATTGTCGTTGTTGGAGACCAATCCTCTGGAAAGTCGAGTGTTCTCGAGTCCTTGGCAGGAATCAGTTTGCCTCGTGGGCAAGGAATCTGCACGAGGGCTCCTCTTGTGATGAAGCTTAAGCGAAGTGCTAGCTCTGAACCTGAGATCTGGCTCAAGTACGGTGAGAAAGTTGATCATACGGATGAGGAGCACATCACTGAAGCTATTTGCACAGCAACGGATGCTATCGCAGGTAGGTTTTCACTTTCGAAATCTGGCCATTAGCTAAACTAAATGTGTAAACACTTAAATACATGTTCTGCCACTCATATATAGTTGGATGATCTAGAGTATGTTACTCACACTGTAATTCTGAATGTAGCATATCTGAGTCTAACAAATAGATTGGCACGATTATGATGAGTAAATCGTAAACGTATCCATTTTGCAGGATCTGGGAAAGGTGTCTCAGACACTCCCCTTGAGCTATATGTAAGAAGGAATAGTGTTCCTGACCTGACAATGGTTGATCTCCCTGGGATAACGCGTAATCCCATCAATGGGCAGCCTGAAGACATCTATGAACAAGTGTCAGCCATAATCAAGAAATAGATCGAGCCACAGGAATCAATTATTCTCAATGTTCTGTCAGCTACAGGTGACTTCTCAACCTATGAGTCCATACGTATGTCTAAGCAAGTGGACAAGAAAGGGGAAAGAACTCTGGCTGTTGTGACTAAAGCCGACGTGCAACCTGAAGGGCTGTTGGAGAAAGTTACGGCAGACGATGTGAACATCGGACTCGGTTACGTCTGTGTGAGGAACCGTGTAGGGAACGAGACATATGAAGAAGCTAGAAAGAAAGAAGAGTTTCTTTTCAAGACTCACCCATTGCTCTCTAATATTGATGAAAACATGGTGGGGATCCCGGTTTTAGCTCAAAGGCTCGTTGAAATCCAGGCGAAAATGATCACTCGCTGTTTGCCAGAAATCGTACAGAATATTGATGAAAAACTGGACAAGAATATCCTCGAGTTGAATAAGCTGCCAACGGTAATAAATTCTCCAAGTGAAGCTTTGATGACGTTAATGAATATCATCTGTTCTGTCAAAGAGTCTCTCCACAGACTTCTTATCCAAGGAGATGTCTCGGAATATCAAGATGATCATCTTAACATGCCTTCTTCTACTCGCTTGGCAGATATGTTGAGAAAATTCTCAGATGATCTACAAGCACAGCCTCAGGCCACGACTGAGTTCTTGATGGATGAAATCAAGGTACTTGAAGATTGCAAATCTGTTAGATTGACTAATTTTATTCCAAGATAAGCCTTCTTAGCTATCCTCTCACAACGTGTTGATGCAATCCATGCTAAACCCACCGAGTTCATCAGAGAGATATGGGACTCCGTTGAAATTGTTCTCTCATCAGTCATCACTAAGTACTCTGAAAACTTCCCTCAGATTCAGCATTTCATCAAACGAGCGTGTGGTAGACTACTCTCTATGATCAAAGAACAATCTGTGAGCCGAGTGACCGAGATTGTTGAGATGGAGAAACTGACAGATTACACATGCAACAAAGAGTACACGAACGTTTACACACATTATATAGCTGCACAAGGAAGCTTCATCAGTGCTGCAGTGAACACATATAAAATATCCTTCGATTTAACTGGATTCGGAACGGTTCCGACTACACATCTAAGGAAGTATCCTGTCGAACTACTGCATCAAGCTTTTGACATAAAGATGAGGATTACAGCCTATTGGGCTATCGTTGTAAGAAGAATTGTGGATAGCACTGCACTTTACCTTCAGTTCACTTTGAAGAATTTCATCAACAGTCAGTTTCAGAAGGAGATCGTCGCGGAGTTGGTGAATCACAGAGGCGTAGGAGACGTTGAGAAGATGCTTGAGGAGTCTACTGCGGTGGCGAGCAAGAGGGAGAAGCTTAAGAACAGTATCAGGCTATTGAAGGAGGCCAAAGACGCTGTTTCAGCCATTGTTGATCACAGTTCCTGATAGTTAGATCGATTGCTTCTTTAGTGAAGTTTGGGTTTTCATTCTTTTCGTCTAAAAAGGGTTTGGGTTTTCACTTTGTCTTTTCTCCCATTTTATTATGTTTTTTACACTTTTAAATGAATTTGTGTGGCCATGTGGCATTTACTTTCAAATAAATAAATACTTGGAAAATTTCAACTGTATTTACTATAAATAAAAAAAGAATATCAAACCTTATCCACACCAGATTGAAAAATTATCTAATAGGATTATCCCTTATTACCACGTCATGAATTTACCGATTGATCCCTCATTTTTTATTTCTTTCACTTTGACCTTAAAGGCTGAAATGATGTAGAATTACCTTTGATTTTTGCCCAAACTTCTCAATTATGCATCTTAGACCATGTCAAATGCAATTATGTATGCAAATGCAATATAAAGACATAAATTCAACTTAGAATGATCATAATAAACCAAAATATGAATCTAAAACTCATCAAAATCAAAAAATATCATCGGGTTTTTGTACATTCTCAATTGTGCATCTTAGACTCTGTCAAATGTAATTATGTATGCAAATTCAATATAAAGATATAAATACAACTTAGAATGATCATAATAAACTAAAATATAAATCTAAAACTCATCAAAATCAAGAAATATCACAGGGTTTTTGTACAGTAATATATTTTATAATTTTAACTAGAGATTGACCCGCCCTCAAGAGGGCGGGTATATTTTTTGTTTTTAACATTTTTTGCTTCATATAATAGATAAAATTGTAAGTATATAAAATTAAATCAAGTTTCATAAGAATGTAGTTGTGTCATATACGTTTAAGTATTTATTTGTAATCTTTATTCATAAAGTTTGCAATGTAGCTGTGTCAAAAATATTTTTGTTTTACATAGTTTTATTAGAATTTACTTTTTATATATGTGTCATTCTTTGTAACCATATTTGTGTTTTTATTTATAATCATATTTATGTATTTCCTTACAATCATATTAACGCAAAATAATTTTTTTAGTTACTAATAAGAATTGTGATATTTATATTGAATTAATGACATTGCATAACTATACACTTGTGTTATAGCCATTTAACACATTAATTTTATATTTTAATTGTAATTTTCTAAATAACAAAATATAGGTTTAATTTTGTTTATTAATCAAGTAATAATTAATTATGCAAATTATATGTTTTTCAAACAAAATTCAAAATTTGATTTCATATATTATTATTACACATAATGGACATAATATTACATGGTTAGAAGACTAAACATATGTTTAAAGTATATAAGCAAAGAAAAGCACAATAGATATATAATTTGCATAACTAATTGTTATGAATTACAATAATTTGCATAAACATATGACTAAAAATGTAGTTTCGGTAATCCTATCATATTTCACCCAAATGTTCTTAGTAGAGTAAGTCTTGATGTGGTGGTTACCATAAAGAAAATAAGGGAAATTAATGTTGTTGCAGTTAACATATAATCTACCTTTATTATCGTTGCAGTTATACTAATAGAAGGGTATATTTTGTTGATGTAATTGTTGTACACAACTAATATCAATAGGTCAAACTTGTGTTTTAATAGAATAGATTTTTTTTTTTGTATTTTTGTAAATAAAATATTTAGCAGACATATGGAGATATTTTATTGTATTTCAGTTTATGTATCATTATTTTTGAAAATATTAAACATTTTCTTGACAATATACATTTTAATTATTTTATTCCGTAGTAATGTATTTATATGGTTAACACAAAAAAAAAATCAAAACCGTTTACTGCTACTGACATACTATAAAGGAAGTGAGATAAAATAATATATATTTTTTAATCATTGGTAAAATCATCTAGTTTTATTTTTTCCTTTTTACAGTGGGGAAGATTTGTTTACATACGTTTAAAAAATATTATTTATGTCAATTAAATGATGAAATGAGATTGTGAAGCTTAATTTATAGAGCTAATGTAACTTGGTTTAAGAAATATTTGTGCAAAAAAAGGAAAAAAAAAAGTGACAAAAAATTAGACCAAAGGCTTAAATATAAAAACATGAACAAATCATGGAAGATAAAACTTCAAAAAATATCACCGGGTCTTTGTACAGTAATATATTTTATAATTTCAATTTTTTGTATTTTTGTAAATAAAATATTTAACAGACATGTGAAGATATTTTACTGTATTTCAGTTTATGTATCATTGTTTTGAAAATAGTAAACATTTTCCTTACAATAGACATTTTAATTATTTTATTCATGTAGTAATGTATTTATATAGTTAACACAAAGAAATCAAAACTGTTTACTGCTGCTGACACACTATAAAGGAGGTGAAATAAAATAATATATATTTTTAAATTATTGGTATAATCATTTAGTTTTTTTTCACAATGAGGAAGATTGGTTTAATGATGTCTAAAGAAATATTTGTTACGTCAATTAAATGATGATATGAGATTATGAAACTGAATTTATAAAGCTAATGTAACTTAGTTTAAGAAATATTTGTGCCAAAAAAAGGAAAAAAAAGTTACAAACTAATTGAGAAAAAATGTTCAAATATAAATCATGAACAAATCGTGGAAGATAAAATTTTGAGCAGGCACGTGTTTGTTAATTTTAAAGATTATTTATTTATTTATTTATTGAATACTGTACTAGCAAAAAAATTTTCCTTCTATTAATATTTTAATTTGTGTATGTCAACTCATTTATTTGGGTTTTTTTTTATAATCCAAATAGAATTACACTTAGATCCACTAAGATAAAGCTTCTTATTTATATTCCAAATAATTCGATAGCCAACAAGAAAAGTAAAGTCTTTTATTTATATTCCACTAATCTTCTGCTCCGTAACTACCATCTCAGGTCTTTCTTCTTTCTTCACTTGCTAGCTCAGCAATAGCTCAATAATAGCACAGATCTGGATCAAATTTTAAAATAATAAATATAACTAAAAGATTAAATTTTTTAAACTGATGACATTTTTGAGTGATAAATGACTTATTCTCTCCCATGTATATTGACATATTGCCATACTATAATTTTATATCATTACATGTAGAGACATATTCCAAATCAAATGTTGAATCCATGATATTAACTTAATTTACATAGTAATAACGATTTTTGATAATAATTTGTCTTATAGTTTTTGTAAACACGCTAGAGACTGCTCACCTTTCATAGAAATATATAATAAATATATTTATGAAATAAAAAATACTACACGATTATATTATACTTTATAACAAATGAAAAGGTTATAAAATTACATATGAGAATAATTTTATTAGATCAGGATACAAATTAAAACTGCAAACATATTTAGAATAACTCTTAAACATTAAGCATGTTCATTTTCCCTTATTATTGTAAACGGTAATCACAAAAGTTAAAGATCAAATAGAAAATATTTTTAATAATATTGCAACGACTCAATGTTAATAAAAACGGAAGTTAATGTTTGTACATAAATTGTAAACTCATTTTAGAATACAAAATATATGATAAAGTTACTTCTACGGTTCTACGAAGATGGTAATTTCAAATTTTACATTTGTTTCACAAAGATAATCGTTTTATGTTTTGAATGTAACATTATAAATTTTTACTCATTTTACCCCTATTTATTAAAATAATTACAATATATAATAATTTATTTTCAAAGATTATAGATAAAGTAGGTAATACTTTTTTTGATAAAAATAAATACAATCAAACAAGGTCATTTACGTAATAAACAAAAATTAAATTAAAATACATAAACCGCACGTAACATGGTGAAAAGATCTAGTTTTAGTAAAGATGATAGGTTTAAGGAAAAATAGGCCAGACTTTGAATATAAGCTCAAAAAATTTTGCGGACCAGACCGAGATTAAATAACAATGGGTTTTTCGGGTTTAGGGCCAGGCTGGGTCAGACCAGCCGATTGACATTTCTAAGTACAATTGATCATTTTTCGAAAGTTCAAAACTCTCTATTTATACATTTGGTTCAATATACAAACAAAAGTATTTTTAACTGAACATCAAGTATCAAGTGGGCCAATACAGTGAAGAGTGTGTGAGTATTAGTTAGAATCATCTGTCAAATGCCATATTTATTTAAGGTGAATTTCCCAATTGATTAAGATCTGAATAGTATTTAAGAAAATAGAAATTTGCCACTAAGATCTGATCAATGTTTAAGGAAATAGCATTTATAATGATAAAATTAGATCTCATAACATTCGTTCTTTTTTTTCTTTCAGTATCTTCTCTCTATATTGGCTACTCGTAAATAAAAGATATTGAGGTATATGAAACGACATTAGCGAATATGAAGAAAGTGGTGACGATAAACCTGAGGAAGCGGCAATGGTGAACATGACAAACCAAAGGAAGCAGCGGTCGTGTTGATTACAGAGTAAGCAACAGTCATGGATATGGCGGAAGCCATGGCCTATTGTAGCCAATGCTTATGTTGTTATGGTGATGGTGGAATACTGGTCATGATAGTGGATGATGGGATGCTATAGAAAAAATAATAATGGATATGGAAGAATAATTTTAACTAAGTATAAGTGGAAGAGAACACAATAAAATAGTTCATTTCAGTATTAATTTCGGTTCAAGCTTGCGTTGGGAATCACAGATACTGGTTCTGTACCAGCCTGTACAATACGTGAATCAAATATATATTTACAAAATGAAATAATTTACATGATAGATAAATTGGTAAACACTCAAGATTATTTTAAAATAACATCAGTTTAAGGTAACTCGAGGAATCATAAACTTCAAGTTAACATTATGTATACATTTATAGAAATTATTAAGAGAATTCATAGACAATTTTCTAAAACATTGGTTTTAGTTTTTTTTTATAGTGTGTGAGTATTATAAACCTTTATATAATATTATACACCTTTCTCTATCGAATGTATAACATAATCTGATAATCTCGATAGTTTTATTTTTCATTTTTCCTGCCCTAAGTCCACAACCCAGAAAGAATCTGTGGGGAATTTCCTATGGATTTCTGATGGATTTATCTGGTCTGTTGGGATTTGCCGGCGAATTCCCGATGGTTTGTGGTTTTG